ATAACCGCAATAATTAACAGAATAAGTAATATATATGCCAATAATGGTGACATCAAAGTGTTTGTTTCAGTAGGTATCGATTCTATTCCTCCTATTAAAATCTGCGGATATGAATTTATATGTGTGTCTAGCGTAATGGGCTGAGCCCAGACTCTTTGAGTTATATCTTTACTAGTTACACTATTATTAGTTTTAGATGCATTAGCATCCTCACTTCTTAAGTCACTTACCTTGGACATAGGAATAATTTCATGACTCAAAGTGTCTGGACTTTTTCCATTATTATCATAAGGTGGAATAATATTGCTAGGCGAGTCTGAGAGGGTATCACCATGATGGTATGGGATTTCATTCCTATTATTGTTTTTTTCGATATCTTCTATATTTTTTTTGCTTACTAAAAAAGGTCTAAGATCTTTGATAGGTTTATTAATTACAGAGATATCATGTGTCAGAGACACTGGGCTTTGCCTATTCGGCTTGTTTATGGAACTTAGTTATTTACTTTGGGTATTTTTTTCATCGACCCCTCCAGTAACAGATCGAGATATATCCTCCGATTTCAGATGTTCCAACTCACTAATTTTCAAGGCTAATTCAACTATTTTAGACTTGAGAGACACGATTTCGGACCTTTTCTCTGACAAGTCCTTCTGAGATAAATCTAACTTACCCTTCAATAATTCCATTTCATTCCGAAGCAATTTAATCTCCTCTAATTTTGTAGCATACTTAGCCTTGGATTTCACAAGAGAGATATCTTTGTTAGCATTTTCAAACTGCAAGTTTTGGTTCTCAGTAACAACCTCTCCTAGTTTTTACTCCATTTCTTCCTATCCTGATCCCATCCCTTTCTTTCTTGATCAAAATTTTCCTCTTGCTTTATGTATTTATCCCGCAACTCACTGTTATAGTTACGCAATTTGGAAGAAGATTGGAGTATACGATGTATTTCTTTCTCAAGATATATCGCACATGTCATATCAAATAAAGATAATATAATAAAAAAATGATAAGTTGCTTGTGGTCATAGTAATTGAATATTGACTGAAGATATTAATCAAATACTAATAAAAAAAGAATAAATCGAACAAAGGTTAGATATTAATCGATATTTATCAATCGAATATTTATCGAAATAGAATTAGATGTTAACCGAATAAAGATTAAATATTAACTGATATATCTAAATCGAATATTTACCGAAATAGGATTAGATGTTAACCAAATTATCTAGATATATCGAAACAAAATTGGATATTTACCGAACAGTCTATATACAGTATGTATCAAAACTAGATTGAAAAACTTTCGAATTTATATCTAAATATTTTTTATTTTTATAAATAAATCATGACTCAAAACTCTGAAAAAATAATTAGATATCTGCGATCTGATGCAACTCCTTTATCAGATGATAATATACAAGATATCATTAATGCCAGAAATTCGATGAAACGTGCGTCAGAAGCTATGGCTATCAAATATAAAATATCAACAAGGCGCGTATATCAAATATGGAGAGAAACCCATCCTCCAATAGATCCTAGGGAAGTGATGTTGCAATCAAATATTGGCGGAGACAATACAGTTAATAAAACTGATATGAGCATGAAAACTCGATCCATAAATCACATTACACATTCTGTAGAGCGGAGCTCATGCCAAGACATAGAAACACCTATAGTTACTTCGGTTATACAAATAAAGAGAAAAAAACTGAGATCTAAGGCTAATCGAATTTCTGACCCATCTAATATTGTCCCGGGGGGTCACACATTAGATAGTAAGTTAATACTGCTGAAATTATAACAAAAAAAGTGGGAGAGAAAGATGACCTATATACTTTAATCGAACGTGATCGTAAAGAAACAGAAGAATATGAACGTAAATCAGAAAGGATTTTAGCCACGAAGTGACTGCTTTCAGCAATTCCAACTAATCAATCTTTGCTTTTTCTAGAGTATTTTGTATCCTGCATAGTATATCACTATTGGCAACTTTCTCAGACTTATTTATATGAAGTTGCAATTTTTTATTGAGCTCAATTAATTTAACTTTGGATGCAAGTACCTCATATAGCGATTTTTCTAACTCCTCATAGCTCATGCATTTTTTTTTAAAGTCGAATCAACAGAATCCAAGTTAAAACCCTCGGGAGCATGCCATTCTTCAAGTGGTACATTGTCGTCTTCATCCCTATCAACATTCTGAGAGGACGCTAATGGCTTATTGCTTTGCAATGGGACTTTGTCCCAATCATCCTGAGATTTGGTCACACAGTTTACTTCGAGCTCGTTTTCGACCTTGTGCATAGTTACAGGGATAAAATGACCTTTTCCATTAAAAGAAATTTTCAACCCATCTTTGTCCCAATCTATAATGCATTTATATTTCTTGAGAAGTGGATTTGAGAATATTAATGTCGGTTTAGGGGGTCGTACAACTACGAAATCTTCACGTATAGTAAAACCTGAAGGAAATGTTATTGGAAAATTACGAGCGACACCAATAGATTCCGTTGGGACGGTGGCGACACCACTGAGATCATATTTTACTGATGTATCAATTGGCCAAGCTACACGTTTGACAATGTCTTCTGAAACAATTGCGAACTCGGCGGCCGAATCTAATGTCAATGCTGGAATTTTCAGGCGTTTGATTTTAACTGGTATAGTTGCAATACTTGTGTCTGGTTCTTTTTTCTGAATAAAGTCAATCTCCATAGGATCATCTAGAGTTTCTTCCTCACCATCTGATTCGGATATTGCCAGGACTGGATCTCGATAATTTAAGTACGAAGTGCCCTGCTCTGCAGTAAAATCAGATTTTTTGGCTCCCTTGGAGTTTCTTCCAGAAATAGATGGAAGTATATTGAATGAATTCTCGATCTTGGCTTTAAGTTTCTCTATCCAATATACAGGTGCAACGCCATCAAGCAATCCTTTGAAGAGACTTATCAATAATAGTCGATTTATTTCGGGGCTTACTAGAAGTGGGAGTCTCCTGTTTCTTCTTGCGAGATTTGGATGAATTGGAAACTCGAGGCTTTGCTTCCACCTTTTTGATCTTGGATTTCTTAGGCTTTACTTGTTTTTTTTTTGCTTTGGTAGCATTAATAGCATTGATAATTTTCATGATTTCGCCCTCAGATAAGTCATTCTCAGATTCTGACCCAGAACTAGAATCGGAATCGGAATCGGAATCAGAAGAGTTGGTATCGGAACCTGAATCTATAGTAGCGCTATTAATCTTACCACTCTTTTTGGATCTCTTCTTCCGAGTACACCTACGAGAATTATGACCAGTCCTATTGCAATATGAACATCGATGTTGAGATTTTTTAACAAATTTAAAAACCGCATTAACAATTTTGGTCATATTTGCCATATTTAATGACATATTCTCCATACCTTTAGTAATTTCATCGATATCATCATTACTTGGCGTATGTGCAAGCTTTATAGTTGAAGAGTTATTTTTACCCTTGTCGGAGGTCATTACTTACTTTATGGCTAGAAAGGTAATTAGAAATATCCTTCATTACATCCGTAAGATTCTGAAAAAAGGACGAATTAAAATCTGGATTTTTTAAGTGTAAATCTTTATCAGAGCGTATTTTGTTAGACTCATTCTTTTGATTCTCCAATGAAGCAACCGCTGTTTGAATTCTTCTATCTATTTCTTCAGAGGTAATTAAAGCTGAAGCAGTATTTGGTAGTTGCCCACTAACTGTTGGAACTTGAGGGATTTGATCGGGAATTGATCCCCCATATAGGTTTGGTTTACGCTCTAGCCACATATTTTTTAAATCGGTAAAAAATGCATTAATACCTTGTGGATTATTAGCCCTCATCCATGTATAAAGTTCACCTGGTAAATGACTTTTAAGAATTCCTAATGCTTGCTCATCATTATTAGCTGTTCCTATTAAAAGCCGTCGAATTCTAGTTTCGTAGGTATCCGGAGTATCAAAAGGTTGAAATATTTCTTGAATTAATCTTTGAATTGCAGATTGTTTGGTTCCAACCGTTTCTCGTTGATATTTTGTTCTTGCCGACGCCCGTATAGTTGCTGGTGAATTAATAGGAGGATTAGGATTAATATAGCGATCATTAGCTGGTACCGGAGCATATTTTCCAGCCATCTTGGATTTTAAGATAGTACACTTGACTGCATCATCGAAATCTCCTACATTTGCATTCTCAAGAACTGTCATATGCCCCTCAGCAAATGCCCATGATTGTATAATCTTATCAAAATAATCATCGGGAGGTTCTTGACCAATATAAGGTGGGAAACTTGCGAGGGCAGGTTGTATTAATTTTAATATCGGTAAACGTCTAGCATCAGCCATGTTTGGATTCGGAAGTGGATTATTCTGTGAATATAAAATTTGTCCCTGTAAATTCAAAATTAATTGCTGTGAATTGCACTCTCTATTTTTCCATTTGATATGACTTGCCTTGCGATCCTTGAATTTATTGTAATATCTATCAAAAAGCCGATCACAGTTATATTCTAATAATTCTTTATCGGCCCGGCATGGTTGTAGCTCCCGTTCTAAGCGATGAATAAAGGCTTTATAAATAATTTCAAGAATATGTTTGAGTTTGGACTGTTCACCCCATATGAAGCTGCATTATGCCATAAACGCCCCCGTATATTATATTTTCGTTGTAAATCCCTACCATGTCTCTGCTATCTTCGAAGTTTAAAATTAAGTATAATCTTATCAAGTAATAAACCATCAATGCGCTTTTGCATCCTCTTTTCTATTTTCTGGGCAACCCTCCACCAACGACGACGCTCTCCCAGTTCATTATTATAAGCTGTAGTCATCAAAGTAAGATCATTCTTGGAATTGTTATATTCTTGAGTAATTCGGTTAACTTGATTTCGGAAATTATTCCGTTCTTGGGTAATTTGATTGACTTGATTCTGTAAGTTATCTCTTTCTTGGGTAATTTAATTGACTCGGTCCTGAAAATTATTTTGAACAAGCTGATTGACCTTATTTTGCAAAGCAATATTCTGCTGTCTATAACCATTAACATCCTGCTGTAACTGGATTATCTGATTATCTCTGTCATCCCGTTGATTCGTAATATCATCTAAGTCCTGATCTATTATTTGATAATTAGTCCGAACGGTATTCAAAGAACCTCTAATTCCTTCGATTATTCTGATAGGATTGTTCAATGGTGTAGCAGATCCTCTAAGATGACCTTCAAGGCGATCCAGTCCTCTATTAATGTTTATAAAGGGATCTATATATGTCATATCTATATTTTTCTCTTCTGAATTATATAAGTTTGGAGAGCTTCTCCAGGAAGAAATAACTTTGAATCTATACCTCAGATCTTTCATTTTCTCATAACATTCTTGCAACTGCTGTTCCAGATTAGTATTATAATATTTGATCACCCGGACCTCCTTTGTGACTTGGTATAAGTTTCCTTTAAGAGGCGATATCTCCAATCGTAACTCCACCTTTTCTTCTTCCGAAATATTCTCTAGACGTTCCAGTTCTTTATTGAGGGATTGGATTTCTTTCTCACACCTGATATACTTACATTCCAGATCCTTTATATATTTCTCATTTGATTTGTTGATGGATACCTCCGATTGCAATATCTCCTGGAGTTCTCGGTTGATTTGTTATAGCTCAAGTTCTTTATCCGTAGCTGATCTATGTGTTGTTCAATTGGGGGGTCGGGGTCTTTGAAATGCCATAGTTATTTTTTTATGACATAATATATTGTCTTATCTCTCGACTTCATCAAACATATTTTTTGTTATAATAAAATGCATCGAAATGAGCATACCTACTATAATTATTGACCCGTGAGGAATTGCGAATTGTCCTATGTATAATATAATCTACTATAATATACCTGGATTTCATCCAAATAGTAAAAAATTACAGAAGGCATGTCAGAAAGAGGGGTATGATCACTTTCGACTCAAAGATATAGCACAGTGGTTGGAGGATCAATATGATTACCAAATATTTCTTACACCACAAAAACACAAGGCTGAAGCGAGCTTCCAGAAGATTAAGATTCCCAACAAAGTTCATCAGTGCGATATACTAATTCATGTTCGCGACAATCAAGATGGTATAAGGATATTTGTCTGTAGCTTACTAGTAATTGACGTGGCAACTCGTTTCAAGGCTGGACGTTCATTAACATCAAGAAATAGTTTAGAAGTTTGGAATGCAATCAAAGAAATATATGAAGACCCTGCCAATTCCCTTACCTGGCCAACATTGTTGATGACTGATGGCGATGCATCTTTTCGTGGGTCATTCTCTCAAGGAATGGAGCAA